GTGGTAGAGTGCTAGCCTTGAGCTGAAGAGCTGAGGGACAGCGCCCAGGCCCAGAGTTCAGGCCCCACAACCGGACCCAAAAAAAAAAAAAAATTCCTCGGCAGGAGAGTTCTACAATTTCTCTCCTATGATTTGTATGTTAAATGTCCCCCAAAGATTCATGTATTGAAGGCTTGGTCCCCAGCCTATCTTGCTGTACAGGAAGTAAAGCCTACTGGAAAGAAGTATGATCATTGGGGATATGTTCTGGGGAATATTGGACCCTGGCCACTCCTCTTTCTGTTTCCTGACTCCCTGGCTCCCTTGAAGGAAGCAGATTTACTCTTTCTCTAGCGGCCCCAAACAATGAACCAAGTAAGCCTGGTGTAAAACCTTGGAAATTGTGAACAAATAAACCCATGGTGCGTGTGTGTGTGTGTGTGTGTGTGTGTGTGTGTGAAGGTCCTGGTGCTTGAACTCAGGGCCTGGGTGCTGTTCTTGAGCATTTTTGCTCAAGGCTACTTCTCTACCATTCAAGCCACAGCTCCATTCCTTGCTCTGTGTGTGTGTGTGTGTGTGTGTATACATGTGCCCGCGCGTGCACACACACGTGCATGCTTAGCTATAAGAGTATAAGAGTCATTGAGCCGGGCACCGGTAGCTCATGCTTGTAATTCTAGCTACTCAGGAGGCTGAGATCTGAGGATCTTGGTTCAAAGTCTGCCTGGCAGGTAAGACCTTGAAACCAACAAACCACCAGAAAATCAGAAGTGGTGTTGTGACTCAAGTGCTAGAGCACTAGCCTTGAGCTGAAGAGCTGAGGGAGTGTCCAGACTGAGTTCAATCCCATAACCGACAAAAAGTCATGTAGACTTTCCTGCCTGGGTTGGCCTTGAACCATGGTCCTCAGAAGGTAGGATTATAGGCACCTAGCTGAATGTATGTGTGTGTGTGTGTGTGTGTGTGTGTGTGTGTATGAAAAACAAAAACAAATGCTGGGCGCTGGTGGCTCACGCCTGTAATCCTAGCTACTCAGGAGGCTGAGATCTGAGGATCGCGGTTCAAAGCCAGCCCGG